CTCCTTTTTGACTTTGCCCGTGCCGAAGAGGCGACTGGGTCTTAAGTAGTAATGTGGCCCGTAGGCTTTGGGAGCGACTCGTAGTCCACTCCTTTTTGACTTTGCCCGTGCCGAAGAGGCGACTGGGTCTTAAGTAGTAATGTGGCTCGTAGGCTTTGGGAGCGACTCGTAGTCCACTCTTTTTTTACTTTGCCCGTGCTGAAGAGGCGACTGAGTCTTAAGTAGTAATGCGGCTCGTAGGCTTTGGGAGCGACTCATAGTCCACTCTTTTTTTACTTTGCCCATGCCGAAGAGGCGACTGGGTCTTAAGTAGTAATGTGGCCCGTAGGCTTTGGGAGCGACTCATAGTCCACTCTTTTTTTGACTTTGCCCATAGGCTTTGTGAGGTGCCGAGATGACCAGGTGCTGAGCTATCCGTGATTGCACTGCATCAGCCTCGTAATGCCGGTCACCCACTCCTACAAGAAGCTACTAGGAGCTCGACCTTCGGGGGCAACACTACTAACTTTAGGTCATCAGCTCACACGGGAGCCTTGGAAGGCTCGACCAGCAAGGGTGCCTATGTAGTCTGTTGGCCGCCAACTCCCGCGGAAGCCATGAAGAGCTCATCTTTGTAGAGGGGACCTTGCGGAGAGGACTGATGAGGTTTTATCTGAATTGAAAGTTGGTAGAGCTGCTTAGTCTGCTGGCTCCCTGTATAGTCTTTGAGTTCATAAAAGATGTAAACTATAAAGCAAGAGCTTCAATTTCTAAAAAGTGAGGAATTAGCTTTCTAGGAGAAGAGGACTTAGCTTTTGTAGGATGAGAACTTAGCTTTTTGTAGCGTGTTCCCACAGACGACGCCAATTGATGTAACCATTTCTGGTCACATACCAATTTTTTGTGATGTATCAATTTTTTTGGCTAAGTGCCTCGTCATATGACCTGCTCCCAGGAGAGGATGGTGGAGCTCCCTGGTGGTAAACTGCCTGGGGGAGAGCTATGCCGAGCTGCCCGAGTTATGCCGAGCTGGGGAGAGCTATGCCGAGCTCCCTGATGGCGAACTGCCTGGGGGGAGAGCTATGCCGAGCTCCTTGATGGTGAGCTACCTTGGTGGACTTGCCATTTGCCCTGCTCCTAGGCGGCCTGTGACTCAGAGAATGGTGGAGCTTCCTGTTGGTGAGCTACCTTGGTGGACTCGTCATTTGCCTTGCTCCTAGGCGGCTTGTGACTTAGAGAATGGTGGAGCTCCCTGGTGCAGCGCAACCCGACTACCCTCTACATGAGGTGATCTTCTCTCATTTGTAGGCAGTGGGAGTTGAGGGACCTGCAAGAACTCCATCTTTTTCTCCTCTTTGTAGGCGGCGGGAGCTGAGGGACCTGCGAGAATTGAATCAGAGGACCTGGGGGTATTTTCCCGGTGGGGACTCTCCGATGCCTAAGTTAGCATTCTGATTGTAGGGAGCTTGGAGAGAAATGAGAGAGCTAGAGCAGGGATTACCTCCATTTTTCCATTCTCTCCCCCTTGTCTTTGGGAGTCGGAGTCCTTATATAGTGGTGTCTTGTCAAATCAGGCGTAACAGCCTCTGTCAAGTCAGGCATAACCGCCTCTGTCTCTCTGTCGCAGCCGTTACTGCCAGAGCTGAAGTGGTGGGTGCAGGCAGCTGTTGTAGAGTACGGCTCTGCCAGGCAAGGGACAACTCTCAGGGTTGGCAGGCACGGCGCCGCCTGGCGAGAGACATGGGCGCAGGTCTCCGGATCTGTCAGGTATGGTTGTCAGGTAGGAGATCTTCTTGCGATATGCTGAACTGCTCTTCTGTACCGAGCTACCTTGCAAGTGGCGAGCTGCCTGGGGGGGAGCTATGCCGAGCTACTTGTGGCGAGCTGTGGCAAGCTCTGCCGAGCTGCCTGTGGCGAGCTATGGCAGGCTTTGCCGAATTGCCTATGGCGAGCTATGCCGAGTTGCCCAATTGTCAAGAGGCTGCACTTGGCTTGCATGAGGTGCCAGGTGTCACAATTTCACTGGAGGGCCAAATCCGCCCTCATCAGAATCAATTTTTGGGCTAACTACCTCGTCATTTGGTCTGCTTCCAAGTGGCCGATGACTTAGAGGCCGAGGTGGAGAATTTTGCTGGGTGAGGACTTGGATGCCGAGCTGGGAGTGGACTAGGTGCCGAGATGGGGGCAGACTGACTGGGCCGAGCTGACCAGGCCGAGCTAGGGCAGATCAAGTGCCGAGCTGACTAGGGGGCAGATCAGGTGCTGAGCTGACCAAGGGGCAGATCAGGTGCCGAGCTGACCAAGGGGCAGATCAGGTGCTGAGCTGACCAGGGGGCAGATCAGGTGCCGAGCTGACCAGGGGGCAGATAAGGTGCCGAGTTGACTGGGCCAAGCTGGATTGATTGTTGAGCTTCGCAGTTCTTTGGAGACCTGTAAGGAATCAATGTCAGAGGACCCGGGGTGACTAACCCGGCGAGGTCGCTCCGATGATTAAGTTAGTACTCTCATAGTAAATTGCGAGCTAAAAAATCACAAAGTATGAGAGCTAAAATGTGCTTACTTGCCCCCCCCCCCATGTCATTGGGGTTGGTGCCTTTATATAGGCATTGTTTGGCGTGGGCTTCACGCACCATAATCGGGATTTCCGAGAGGTCGCCTAAGTGGTCCGAGATTTCTGGAGGCAACCGCCATGCACGTTGACCATCCTCCGGAACGTTCGATACGTGGGATAACTTCCAAGGATCGTGAGAGTGTTGGAATATGCATGCCGAATTTGTCGGCGAGCACGTCTCGCAGGTTGCCACCTGGACCTCAATCAGGTCGGCACGCCCTCGAGGGAGGTCGCTCCTTGCGTCGAGGTCACTTTGGCTAGTGATGAGGTGCTGCAGGTCGGTCCTGGACGAGGTGCTTCTAGCCGACTTGATTTGTGGTCGAGGTCGCCAGTTCGGCGCCTGTGCCAGGTTGTCAGTTCGGCACCT